TCTTTCTGTTTGAATGGCTTGCTCATCCAAAGGTGAATATCTTGTGGAGTTAAGACCACATGGTTTACCAGTGAATAACTTTCATTTGGAATTGCTGCAACTGGTATCACAATGCTGATGCAAGCCACTTGAGGAATTTACCTTAAAAAGGGGTAATGGAAAGCGTTAGAAACATTATCCAACTGCTTTTGCCACATGCTAACCACTGCAGTGCGAATGCCGATCACGTCGGGGAGAAAGTGACAAGCAGCCAATGTAGACTAGCTTTTGTGATTTTTATATTCATTGGATTACTTCCTGTCCACAAATTAATGTTGTCTTCCTCTCAACGACCCGTTTTTTTTGCAATCCTCCAGCTTCTAAATTTACTGTGCCGCTCTGCTAATGAACAAAGATTGTTTCCTTTGCTATGGTTACGGCTCTGACTCGTGGGAATCATCCTTAGAAATACTAAATCGAGGTTGCTCTGCAATCGCTCAGGTGGGGCGTTTCATTGTGCGTACAACTCTGCGACATGACCTTACTGCAGCCTGGAGCCTAAACGACCACCCCGTCCCGGTGGAGAGAGAGCAAGAGCATGAATGAAGGACAGAGACAGGATGTGCAGATTTGACCAGATTTGATGAGATAAATAATCAGTGAGCCAGATGGCTGCTCTCTTTTTCTTTTTCTCTCTCTCTCTCCTCATGTTTAAAGGGGAGGTGTTCTGCTCTTTGTCCTCTCTTGCTGTCCACCCGTTCGGTCCCATCGGCAACATTGGGAACAGACTTTTGGAGGACAAGTTGTCTGTATGACAGGGAGCATATCCGGCCCTGTGTGTTTACATGATCGGGTCGTCACTCTCACTGTCGGTTCCCTTGAGAAGAGCCCCCAAGGGAGCTCCAGCAAATTAAGACTGCTGGGAGGGAGCGTTCTTTACGCAAACCAGCCAAAGGCAATCAGCGACAATGCGAGGAACTGTTAATGCTCATTTTGAAGAAGGGATTAGGCCTCCCTAAAGTTTGCTTACTAACATGTTATTGGTCAAGGTGTCCCTTTTGTTTTCCCAAGAAAATATGAGCTACTGTCAACCAGTGATGCATGCTTGCTTAATGGAGTAGTTCACTTCCAGAATCAAAATTTCCTGATTATTTACTCACCCCCTTGTCTTCAAAGATGTTCATGTCTTTCTTGCTTCAGTTGAAAAGAAATGAAGGTTTTTGAGGAAAACTTTCCAGGAGTTTTTTAATTATTAGGAAATTTAAATTCTGGAAGTGAACTACTCCCTTAAATTTAATAAAATTTTTAGTTGCATTTGCTAAGAGCACTATTGCTTGTTTTGTTTTGATTGGTGTGTGTTGGGATACTAATAGTTTTATCAGCAACCGGATATATCACACTCTAGGGATTCTGTTTTTAATAAATAACGAATCTCATGTAGCATGAAATAAATTCAAAACGTTTAAATACTACAAATTCTGAATTCAAAATGTTTGAATCTACTTCACTTTTCTCTAGCAGTCTATATGTGACTTTGAAATTTGTATTCTTAGTTTGTACTCTGCTGAGAGGTTAATATATGATGTTGCGCTCAAATATCTGCCTAGAGTTCACTAAACTTGGTAAAAGGCAGACCTACTACTCATTGTTTCTTGCATTTCTCCTGGATTTGCATGAACATGAATGGAAGTAAGTGAAGTGCATATAGCATTTGTTGTTTTGTGTGTCCAATGTGATAATGTGACTTTGACTATTTTTCTACCCAGGATTTTTGCAGCCTTTTTGAAGATTTTTGAAGACAACACAATCAAAGATGTTTAGTCTATTTTTTTATTTGTATAATTCCACAGTATCTTTTTATCTAATCACAAAACTTTGGTTAAATAAAGTTTCTATTGTTGCAGTAAATTCAGCAGCGCAGACATTCCATTGAACAGCAGTGCAGGAAACATTGCCACAGTAAGCCACCTTATAAAGTCAGTTCAGTAGTTGATATGAGGTGGAAAAATAAGTTTTGTCTTTTTTTCTGAGAAGGTTCAGTGCTTCTTATTTTAAAGGGAGGTCAGCTGTGCTCAGTTTCTGCAGTCCAGTAAGGGGGAAAGACAGAAAGGAAGTGCTCTTGTAGGAGTCAGGTCTTGCTTCACTGCCTTAATTGGTAATAGTCCGTTCGACTTCTCCACATCTTTTAGCTGCCCCATCCATGGCTGTTTTTTGTTGGGATTCTTTGCCAGGCATCATGACCAGTACTGAACCGTTTAAGCAATTACACAAATGCCCATCAATTTGGCCTCCTGCCTGATGAACTACTAACCTGATCCTCTTGTACTATTCTAAGCTTAGAGGGCAGTCAGGTGGTAGTAGTAGAATTTTGATTTCACCAACTTGTCATCTGTATCTTCACAGGAGAATCTGTGTCAGTAATCAAGCATACAGACCCTGTCCCTGACCCTCGTGCTGTGAACCAGGACAAGAAGAACATGCTCTTCTCTGTAAGTTACACCTCTGATGACTGCTGTGAGCTTATTATTTGTGGTGCCTGAGAATGCAGACCTTGTTATTATTTGTGCTCATATTTAGAGTTAGATTTTTTTCCCCCCCCAAAAAATGTAAGTACGGTACTGTTTAAAGGTTTGGGCTTGGTAAGATTTCTTAAATGTCCTTAAAATAAGTCTCTAATGCTCACCAAGGCAGTATTTATTTGATTAAACATTAGTTTTATTGTGATACATTATGACATTTAAAAATAACTTTTTTTTGTATTAATCCTGTGATGGGAAAAGCTGAATTTTCAGTAGCTATTACTCCAGTCTTCAGTGTCACATGATCCTCCTTAAAGAAATCATTCTGATGATTCTGATTTGCTGCTCAAGAAACATTTCTTACTGTCAAGTAAGCAAAAGGGTTGTTTTTGCCCAGATGTAAGGAATTTGTATTTCGAGATTTTAAAATGATGGTTGAAACTGATGAGCCGATGTTTATTTTCATGTTACAGCTCATAATGGCCGATATTAAAACGTATACTGTTGTCTAAAATAAAAATGAAAACTGTTGAAAACTAAGGATACAGGCATCACAACATTATAATACAAATGTAAAAGTTACATTTAAACATTGTTATTAAATTATTAATGTTTTTAAGAAAAACTATAAATGATGGCAAGGGTAATCTAGATATAAATATAAAGCAAATAAGCATACACGGTGAAGTATCCAATGCTGGTAGATTCAAATTTAATTGAAAAAAATCTTGAATATTGTGTGATTTGTGCATCTTTATCTGCATGGTTTAGGACTCATTTTCTCACAGAAAACTTTTAAGTTCCTAGTAAACTTAAAGGAGATATTAGGTTGTTTATGTTTAGGCTGATCATAATTTATAGCTTTAAAACACCCCTTTGACTTCATGTTTACAGGGTACCAACATTGCTGCAGGCAAAGCAGTGGGTGTAGTGGTTGCCACAGGGGTGAACACCGAAATCGGCAAAATCCGTGATGAGATGGCATCCACAGAGCAGGAGCGCACACCGCTGCAGCAGAAACTGGACGAGTTCGGCCAGCAGCTCTCCAAGGTCATCTCGCTCATCTGCATCGCTGTGTGGATCATCAACATCGGACACTTCAACGATCCCGTTCACGGCGGCTCATGGATCCGCGGGGCCGTGTACTACTTCAAGATCGCTGTCGCACTGGCTGTGGCCGCCATCCCCGAAGGCCTGCCTGCCGTCATCACCACCTGTCTGGCTCTGGGTACCCGTCGCATGGCCAAGAAGAACGCCATCGTACGCTCTCTGCCCTCGGTGGAGACCCTCGGCTGCACCTCCGTCATCTGCTCCGACAAGACCGGCACGCTGACCACCAACCAGATGTCCGTTTGCAGGGTAAGAATGCTGGGGATGTTACACCCCGATTGAAGTGAGCAGCTTCAGGGCTCATCAAAGAGGAAATAATAACTTACAAGCTATTACAAATTCTGTTTAGCCCATAATTTCAATCCTTGGCAACAGTTAGTCTGTTATTGTTTAGAAATTTGCAGGCTGGGGTTCAGCCAAGAACCGAGAGCAATATTACTGCAGACAATTGGCTGAAAATACTCATGAATAAAAAAAGACATGTTCGTGATGGTATTAATTTAGCATTAGTATGTGTCTCAAATGAAAGCCGTGGGAAAACTATTCAACTGCAGCTTTGATATTGGCATGATTAATAATTTTGTTTTATGTTTGTGTTCCTCATGACCTTGTGTTGGACCACCCCAGTTTGCCTCTGGATTTCCTTTTATGTTGTTTTCCTGTTTGACAGGATTAATTTCAAAGGTTTATTTTATTATCTCCCCCTCATCCTGTACTTTTCTCCTCTCAACTTTTGTCTTCCCCCTCATCTGTTCTTCTCTCTCTGTTCTTTTCCACCTTTACTGTGAGAGCTGATTAGTATGCGGTAGTCAGTTACTTGCAGTAGTGTTGCATAACTGACCTTGTGTGTGAGATCTGTCTGTGATCCACAGCAGCTCCTTCGCTGTGTGCTGAACTGTACACTCAAGTAAGCTGAATGTGTAGCGCTGCTGATTTCAATCTGTTTTCTGCGTTATAAAGATTGAAGTTAGTACCAGACTTGTTTTTATTCTTAATAGATGATTTCTGTGAATGCTCAGGATGTAGCGAAACCAAAATAATCTTTACCCTAAATGTCCCGTTTGCCTCGACTGTCTAAAATAATACTATATGGGAAGGGTGCATCTAAAATTAGCCACGTTTCAACAGAAGGAATGTAATCTTGTTAACCCTAATTGGTGGTTCATGGTTTCAACTTGACATTTGAAAGTGTAGTGGCACCTTTACTGTCATCGGTGGTACAGCTGTTTTGCTTTGCTTGTACCTTTCTTCTGAAGTGTTCTGGCTCTTTTATTTCTGTTTGATATGTTCTTATAAATTTGGAACGCCATGACAGTGTTATTTTGGCTGGCCTTTTTCACTTCAAGCACTGGATTTATCTCAATCTAACAGCAAGTTTTTGCTTCCTTTTAGTGGGTGACAAAGTTCCTGCTGACATTCGCTTAACTTCAATCAAGTCAACGACCCTGAGGGTGGACCAGTCCATTCTAACAGGTGAGAACAATGGTTTTATTAATCCAAGTTGACTTTTTGAAGGTGACGCAGGTGAAATACTAATAGTTTTATCAGCAACCGGATATATCACACTCTAGGGATTCTGTTTTTAATAAATAACGAATCTCATGTAGCATGAAATAAATTCAAAACGTTTAAATACTACAAATTCTGAATTCAAAATGTTTGAATCTACTTCACTTTTCTCTAGCAGTCTATATGTGACTTTGAAATTTGTATTCTTAGTTTGTACTCTGCTGAGAGGTTAATATATGATGTTGCGCTCAAATATCTGCCTAGAGTTCACTAAACTTGGTAAAAGGCAGACCTACTACTCATTGTTTCTTGCATTTCTCCTGGATTTGCATGAACATGAATGGAAGTAAGTGAAGTGCATATAGCATTTGTTGTTTTGTGTGTCCAATGTGATAATGTGACTTTGACTATTTTTCTACCCAGGATTTTTGCAGCCTTTTTGAAGATTTTTGAAGACAACACAATCAAAGATGTTTAGTCTATTTTTTTATTTGTATAATTCCACAGTATCTTTTTATCTAATCACAAAACTTTGGTTAAATAAAGTTTCTATTGTTGCAGTAAATTCAGCAGCGCAGACATTCCATTGAACAGCAGTGCAGGAAACATTGCCACAGTAAGCCACCTTATAAAGTCAGTTCAGTAGTTGATATGAGGTGGAAAAATAAGTTTTGTCTTTTTTTCTGAGAAGGTTCAGTGCTTCTTATTTTAAAGGGAGGTCAGCTGTGCTCAGTTTCTGCAGTCCAGTAAGGGGGAAAGACAGAAAGGAAGTGCTCTTGTAGGAGTCAGGTCTTGCTTCACTGCCTTAATTGGTAATAGTCCGTTCGACTTCTCCACATCTTTTAGCTGCCCCATCCATGGCTGTTTTTTGTTGGGATTCTTTGCCAGGCATCATGACCAGTACTGAACCGTTTAAGCAATTACACAAATGCCCATCAATTTGGCCTCCTGCCTGATGAACTACTAACCTGATCCTCTTGTACTATTCTAAGCTTAGAGGGCAGTCAGGTGGTAGTAGTAGAATTTTGATTTCACCAACTTGTCATCTGTATCTTCACAGGAGAATCTGTGTCAGTAATCAAGCATACAGACCCTGTCCCTGACCCTCGTGCTGTGAACCAGGACAAGAAGAACATGCTCTTCTCTGTAAGTTACACCTCTGATGACTGCTGTGAGCTTATTATTTGTGGTGCCTGAGAATGCAGACCTTGTTATTATTTGTGCTCATATTTAGAGTTAGATTTTTTTCCCCCCCCAAAAAATGTAAGTACGGTACTGTTTAAAGGTTTGGGCTTGGTAAGATTTCTTAAATGTCCTTAAAATAAGTCTCTAATGCTCACCAAGGCAGTATTTATTTGATTAAACATATTAGTTTTATTGTGATACATTATGACATTTAAAAATAACTTTTTTTTTATTAATCCTGTGATGGGAAAAGCTGAATTTTCAGTAGCTATTATTCCAGTCTTCAGTGTCACATGATCCTCCTTAAAGAAATCATTCTGATGATTCTGATTTGCTGCTCAAGAAACATTTCTTACTGTCAAGTAAGCAAAAGGGTTGTTTTTGCCCAGATGTAAGGAATTTGTATTTCGAGATTTTAAAATGATGGTTGAAACTGATGAGCCGATGTTTATTTTCATGTTACAGCTCATAATGGCCGATATTAAAACGTATACTGTTGTCTAAAATAAAAATGAAAACTGTTGAAAACTAAGGATACAGGCATCACAACATTATAATACAAATGTAAAAGTTACATTTAAACATTGTTATTAAATTATTAATGTTTTTAAGAAAAACTATAAATGATGGCAAGGGTAATCTAGATATAAATATAAAGCAAATAAGCATACACGGTGAAATATCCAATGCTGGTAGATTCAAATTTAATTGAAAAAAATCTTGAATATTGTGTGATTTGTGCATCTTTATCTGCATGGTTTAGGACTCATTTTCTCACAGAAAACTTTTAAGTTCCTAGTAAACTTAAAGGAGATATTAGGTTGTTTATGTTTAGGCTGATCATAATTTATAGCTTTAAAACACCCCTTTGACTTCATGTTTACAGGGTACCAACATTGCTGCAGGCAAAGCAGTGGGTGTAGTGGTTGCCACAGGGGTGAACACCGAAATCGGCAAAATCCGTGATGAGATGGCATCCACAGAGCAGGAGCGCACACCGCTGCAGCAGAAACTGGACGAGTTCGGCCAGCAGCTCTCCAAGGTCATCTCGCTCATCTGCATCGCTGTGTGGATCATCAACATCGGACACTTCAACGATCCCGTTCACGGCGGCTCATGGATCCGCGGGGCCGTGTACTACTTCAAGATCGCTGTCGCACTGGCTGTGGCCGCCATCCCCGAAGGCCTGCCTGCCGTCATCACCACCTGTCTGGCTCTGGGTACCCGTCGCATGGCCAAGAAGAACGCCATCGTACGCTCTCTGCCCTCGGTGGAGACCCTCGGCTGCACCTCCGTCATCTGCTCCGACAAGACCGGCACGCTGACCACCAACCAGATGTCCGTTTGCAGGGTAAGAATGCTGGGGATGTTACACCCGATTGAAGTGAGCAGCTTCAGGGCTCATCAAAGAGGAAATAATAACTTACAAGCTATTACAAATTCTGTTTAGCCCATAATTTCAATCCTTGGCAACAGTTAGTCTGTTATTGTTTAGAAATTTGCAGGCTGGGGTTCAGCCAAGAACCGAGAGCAATATTACTGCAGACAATTGGCTGAAAATACTCATGAATAAAAAAAGACATGTTCGTGATGGTATTAATTTAGCATTAGTATGTGTCTCAAATGAAAGCCGTGGGAAAACTATTCAACTGCAGCTTTGATATTGGCATGATTAATAATTTTGTTTTATGTTTGTGTTCCTCATGACCTTGTGTTGGACCACCCCAGTTTGCCTCTGGATTTCCTTTTATGTTGTTTTCCTGTTTGACAGGATTAATTTCAAAGGTTTATTTTATTATCTCCCCCTCATCCTGTACTTTTCTCCTCTCAACTTTTGTCTTCCCCCTCATCTGTTCTTCTCTCTCTGTTCTTTTCCACCTTTACTGTGAGAGCTGATTAGTATGCGGTAGTCAGTTACTTGCAGTAGTGTTGCATAACTGACCTTGTGTGTGAGATCTGTCTGTGATCCACAGCAGCTCCTTCGCTGTGTGCTGAACTGTACACTCAAGTAAGCTGAATGTGTAGCGCTGCTGATTTCAATCTGTTTTCTGCGTTATAAAGATTGAAGTTAGTACCAGACTTGTTTTTATTCTTAATAGATGATTTCTGTGAATGCTCAGGATGTAGCGAAACCAAAATAATCTTTACCCTAAATGTCCCGTTTGCCTCGACTGTCTAAAATAATACTATATGGGAAGGGTGCATCTAAAATTAGCCACGTTTCAACAGAAGGAATGTAATCTTGTTAACCCTAAGTATTAAACTTGTACTTGTATTAAACGTGTAAGTCATCCTGCACTGTTTCCGCTACAGACACACATGATACCACTAATCTTGCATCTTATGGCGCCATTACGTTCACCCGATATGGATTTTTGACATTAATGCTGAGAAGCAGGTTGGGCGATATATGATATACAATTAATTTTACACACAAGCTACAATTAAAATTATATATATTTTTTTACATCATATTTATTAAAAAAATAAATCGATATAAAAAAATGCATTTGAAAATTTGCCATTTAGTTTACTTTAGATAGCAACTTCTTGATTCTGTAATCCTATTATTGTATTTTCACAGATAAATTAATTTAAAACATGAAATACAAAGGAAGTAAGCACCTTAAGCAACTGTGCAGAATGCATTCTGGTCAATGCTTTTGGCGCTTTCAGAATAAAAGTCCCAGTGCTGTCAAAATAATAGTCCAAGTTCAGCCAAACAGAAACATTTTGGCCAAAAAAAAAAAAAAGTAATGCAAAACATTGTGTCCCCTTGGAATTATAAGGTTCTATCTGACATTTTTGTCAAAATTTAGTTATTCACATATTCTTATTCTGTGACAACCTATTTACAATGTGATAGATATTTTATAGTTGTGTACATTTTGGGACTTTTTATTTGAAAAACCAAAAAGGTTCTATCTACCCAGTCGATTGGAATGCAAAAAACTTTGAAGCTCAATATCTCAAAACTACTCTGAATGCAGATAGAACCAGATTGGTCTTTCGAGTCTGCTCCTTTCAGGGAATCATTCAAACCGGTTCTGGTTTCAAAATGATCTGAATGATCCATTACTGACTCCGTTCTCATCTGGTGAAATTATCTTTCCGCAAATTATTGTGAAGGTCATGTAAATGTCAAGGAAACTTTGTTTTTAAGAAGTGCACAGAAGCATGAAATAAATCGCATGGAAGCACCATGATATTGGAGTGTTTTGCCACCCATCTAGCTTTTCTTGAGAAAGTGTTAACTAGTTTGGATTTAGTTTATCACATTTTCCCTGTTTCTCACTGCTTAGATACGTTTCATATTTGAGTTTTTCTACTAATCGTGCCTTTATTCTCAGCAGTGCCCAGCACCTTAGAGATTAATGCCTGTCTCGTTCTCTCTCCCTCCACACACGTCTGTCTCCATCTTTCGACTGTTGTCCGCTGGGTTTTAGCACTACAGCAGGAACACTTCCACTTTACCATCCCACTCACTCTCATCTCTTTTATTCTCTTCTCTTCTCTTTCTTGACAAATCCGGGGGATCTGATTGTCCTCAGTGCTTAAAAATATCCTTAATGCTCATTTGCTTATGTTTCAGGATTTTTTGAGGGGTTTTAAAGCCCCTCTGAACTCCGGTTCACTCGTAAGTGAGTGTCATATAAAGTGTTTACATCTGTAGTGCTGGTATATCCAGGTCAGGTGGAGTACAGATGTTTTCAAACATCAGACATGTTCTGTAGCGGATTGTTCTGCCACCTGCTGGTAGAGATCATGCTTGATGTTTTTTGTTGCAGATGTTCATTGTTGATCAGGCAAATGGAAACAGCTGCTCTCTCAAAGAGTTCACCATTACTGGCTCCACATACGCCCCTAATGGACAAGTGTGAGTTTTACTGCCCCACATGCACACTGGTAACTCAAAGTGCATTAGCCGCCTCTGTTGATCATCCTCTTCTTTTATTTTCTTTTTTTTCACGCTCCAGGTTTCATGAGGGTAAACCAGTCCGATGCTCCCAGTATGACGCTCTGGTTGAAATGGCCACCATCTGTGCTCTGTGCAATGACTCCTCTCTGGATTACAATGAGGTTTGTAATTAACATGTTCTGGTAAATGCAGCACCCCTGTTGTGCTGAAATGCACAATGTAGTAACAGCTAGGATGTAAAACACCTGTTCACACACAGAAGGTAGGAACTAATGTCTAGAACTGTTTGTTCTAGCAGATGAATGTGATTTAATGAATGAAGTTGCTTTAAAATAAACTTTTAATACAATTGTCTTTTGTTTAACATTTTCCAGTATTTAAGTATTTTCTAGTATTTAGTAGTTTTATAGAAACCCCTATAAGTCACTTGTTTAAAAAATACAGTATGTCATTTATTTTTAATATATGTATAATTAATATAAATAACCAATATTAATTTATCATATATGATCTGTATTGGCTGATATAGTATATTAATGACCTTTTCTGCCAACTAATGGTCACTTTTAATTTAATAATGCTGTTAAAGACATCTTGCAAATCTCAAAAGGTCTGTTTTTCATGCAGTACATTATAATGTTGTGATCACTTGAAGCATTATAATTATATTTGCTATATAATTTTTTATAATAGAATCTTTGGTCACATTTTATTTTAAGGTCCAATTCTCGCTATTAACAAACCATTAATTACGACTTTTGCCTCAAACTCCAGACTTGCTGCTTATTAATAGTTAGTAAGGTAGATGTTAAGTTTAGGTATTGTGTTTGATTAGGGATGTAGAATATGGTCATGCAGAATATCTGCTTTATAAGCACTAATAAACAGCCAGTATGTTAGTAATAGGCATGCTAATAAGCAACTATGGTAGTTCATAGTGAGAATTGTTCCCTATACTAAAGTGTTACCGAATCTTTTTGTATAATTAATTCAAAGATTAATATATGATTTTAATAGAATTAATGTTAATAGCAGTGTATCCCTAGTGCTTACATTTAATTATCAAACAGCATTTTTGAAACGTTTCTAAAGAATTGCTTTCCATGTCAGGCCAAAGGTGTGTACGAGAAGGTGGGTGAAGCCACAGAGACTGCCCTCACCTGCCTGGTGGAGAAAATGAACGTGTTTGACACACAACTGAAGGGCCTTTCCAAGGTTGAGAGGGCAAACTCTTGCAACTCGGTAAGTTAGACATTTCCAACTGCAGATTTTGAGTTGGTTGCAACCCTAGTGGGTCGTGCGGTTGTGGAAGCCCACATTTATTTCCAAAATGGTTTTTGGTGTTTGATGCCATGGCAGCTCTAATATCTATGAGTATTTTGTTGATCTTGATCTCAGGTCATCAAGCAACTGATGAAGAAGGAATTCACTCTGGAGTTCTCCCGAGACAGGAAGTCCATGTCGGTCTATTGCACTCCCAACAAAGCTCGCTCCTCCATTGGCAAGATGTTTGTTAAGGTAACATCACACTTTTCAGGAAGACTTTAACACTCCAGTGTTTCATTTAGCTGTTCCACACAGGTCTGCTTTATGTTTGAAATGTATTGTGGTGCAACAAAGTGCCTGCAACTTCGTTAAACTCATTATGTCTGGGTGCAGGGAGCTCCAGAGGGAGTTATTGACAGATGCACGCACATTCGTGTAGGTGGGAATAAGGTTGCACTGACAGCAGGCATTAAAGAGAAGATCATGTCGGTGATCCGTGAGTACGGCACAGGACGTGACACACTGCGCTGTCTGGCTCTGGCCACCCGAGACAACCCATTGAGTAAAGAGAGTATGGTACTGGAGGACTCAAGCAGATTCATTGAGTATGAGGTGAGAAGGGCATTTCTGCTATAGCATATACATAATTAAAAATGTTTATTTATTAATAGTCTGTTATCGTAATTGCTGCTTTTCCTTTAGACGGACATGACCTTTGTGGGATGTGTGGGCATGCTGGATCCGCCCAGAGCTGAGGTGGCAGCTTCCATCAAACTTTGTCGTCAAGCGGGCATCCGAGTCATCATGATCACAGGTGACAACAAGGGCACGGCCGTCGCCATCTGCAGACGCGTTGGAATCTTTGGAGAGGACGACGATGTGTCACGAATGGCCTACACTGGCCGAGAGTTTGATGATCTGTCTGCTGCCACCCAGCGTGAGGCAGTGCTCACTGCCCGTTGCTTTGCCCGTGTCAAATACCACCCATCTAGCTTTTCTTGAGAAAGTGTTAACTAGTTTGGATTTAGTTTATCACATTTTCCCTGTTTCTCACTGTCTAATAGCTTAGATACGTTTCATATTTGAGTTTTTCTACTAATCGTGCCTTTATTCTCAGCAGTGCCCAGCACCTTAGAGATTAATGCCTGTCTCGTTCTCTCTCCCTCCACACACGTCTGTCTCCATCTTTCGACTGTTGTCCGCTGGGTTTTAGCACTACAGCAGGAACACTTCCACTTTACCATCCCACTCACTCTCATCTCTTTTATTCTCTTCTCTTCTCTTTCTTGACAAATCCGGGGGATCTGATTGTCCTCAGTGCTTAAAAATATCCTTAATGCTCATTTGCTTATGTTTCAGGATTTTTTGAGGGGTTTTAAAGCCCCTCTGAACTCCGGTTCACTCGTAAGTGAGTGTCATATAAAGTGTTTACATCTGTAGTGCTGGTATATCCAGGTCAGGTGGAGTACAGATGTTTTCAAACATCAGACATGTTCTGTAGCGGATTGTTCTGCCACCTGCTGCTAGAGATCATGCTTGATGTTTTTTGTTGCAGATGTTCATTGTTGATCAGGCAAATGGAAACAGCTGCTCTCTCAAAGAGTTCACCATTACTGGCTCCACATACGCCCCTAATGGACAAGTGTGAGTTTTACTGCCCCACATGCACACTGGTAACTCAAAGTGCATTAGCCGCCTCTGTTGATCATCCTCTTCTTTTATTTTCTTTTTTTTCACGCTCCAGGTTTCATGAGGGTAAACCAGTCCGATGCTCCCAGTATGACGCTCTGGTTGAAATGGCCACCATCTGTGCTCTGTGCAATGACTCCTCTCTGGATTACAATGAGGTTTGTAATTAACATGTTCTGGTAAATGCAGCACCCCTGTTGTGCTGAAATGCACAATGTAGTAACAGCTAGGATGTAAAACACCTGTTCACACACAGAAGGTAGGAACTAATGTCTAGAACTGTTTGTTCTAGCAGATGAATGTGATTTAATGAATGAAGTTGCTTTAAAATAAACTTTTAATACAATTGTCTTTTGTTTAACATTTTCCAGTATTTAAGTATTTTCTAGTATTTAGTAGTTTTATAGAAACCCCTATAAGTCACTTGTTTAAAAAATACAGTATGTCATTTATTTTTAATATATGTATAATTAATATAAATAACCAATATTAATTTATCATATATGATCTGTATTGGCTGATATAGTATATTAATGACCTTTTCTGCCAACTAATGGTCACTTTTAATTTAATAATGCTGTTAAAGACATCTTGCAAATCTCAAAAGGTCTGTTTTTCATGCAGTACATTATAATGTTGTGATCACTTGAAGCATTATAATTATATTTGCTATATAATTTTTTATAATAGAATCTTTGGTCACATTTTATTTTAAGGTCCAATTCTCGCTATTAACAAACCATTAATTACGACTTTTGCCTCAAACTCCAGACTTGCTGCTTATTAATAGTTAGTAAGGTAGATGTTAAGTTTAGGTATTGTGTTTGATTAGGGATGTAGAATATGGTCATGCAGAATATCTGCTTTATAAGCACTAATAAACAGCCAGTATGTTAGTAATAGGCATGCTAATAAGCAACTATGGTAGTTCATAGTGAGAATTGTTCCCTATACTAAAGTGTTACCGAATCTTTTTGTATAATTAATTCAAAGATTAATATATGATTTTAATAGAATTAATGTTAATAGCAGTGTATCCCTAGTGCTTACATTTAATTATCAAACAGCATTTTTGAAACGTTTCTAAAGAATTGCTTTCCATGTCAGGCCAAAGGTGTGTACGAGAAGGTGGGTGAAGCCACAGAGACTGCCCTCACCTGCCTGGTGGAGAAAATGAACGTGTTTGACACACAACTGAAGGGCCTTTCCAAGGTTGAGAGGGCAAACTCTTGCAACTCGGTAAGTTAGACATTTCCAACTGCAGATTTTGAGTTGGTTGCAACCCTAGTGGGTCGTGCGGTTGTGGAAGCCCACATTTATTTCCAAAATGGTTTTTGGTGTTTGATGCCATGGCAGCTCTAATATCTATGAGTATTTTGTTGATCTTGATCTCAGGTCATCAAGCAACTGATGAAGAAGGAATTCACTCTGGAGTTCTCCCGAGACAGGAAGTCCATGTCGGTCTATTGCACTCCCAACAAAGCTCGCTCCTCCATTGGCAAGATGTTTGTTAAGGTAACATCACACTTTTCAGGAAGACTTTAACACTCCAGTGTTTCATTTAGCTGTTCCACACAGGTCTGCTTTATGTTTGAAATGTATTGTGGTGCAACAAAGTGCCTGCAACTTCGTTAAACTCATTATGTCTGGGTGCAGGGAGCTCCAGAGGGAGTTATTGACAGATGCACGCACATTCGTGTAGGTGGGAATAAGGTTGCACTGACAGCAGGCATTAAAGAGAAGATCATGTCGGTGATCCGTGAGTACGGCACAGGACGTGACACACTGCGCTGTCTGGCTCTGGCCACCCGAGACAACCCATTGAGTAAAGAGAGTATGGTACTGGAGGACTCAAGCAGATTCATTGAGTATGAGGTGAGAAGGGCATTTCTGCTATAGCATATACATAATTAAAAATGTTTATTTATTAATAGTCTGTTATCGTAATTGCTGCTTTTCCTTTAGACGGACATGACCTTTGTGGGATGTGTGGGCATGCTGGATCCGCCCAGAGCTGAGGTGGCAGCTTCCATCAAACTTTGTCGTCAAGCGGGCATCCGAGTCATCATGATCACAGGCGACAACAAGGGCACGGCCGTCGCCATCTGCAGACGCGTTGGAATCTTTGGAGAGGACGACGATGTGTCACGAATGGCCTACACTGGCCGAGAGTTTGATGATCTGTCTGCTGCCACCCAGCGTGAGGCAGTGCTCACTGCCCGTTGCTTTGCCCGTGTCGAGCCATCTCACAAATCCAAGATTGTGGAGTTTCTGCAGTCCCACGATGAGATCACTGCCATGGTAAACTAGAATCCTGTGAAATCATAACACATACTCATTGAATGGTTTTATACTGTATATATACTACTTTGCAAAAACTTGGGTTTGGTAAGATTTTTTTTAATGTTTTTAAAAATCTCTTACACTCACCAAAGCAGCATTTATTTGATAAAAAAGATAAAAATAACTGTTACCTATTCAAATATATTTTAAAATGTGCTTTATTTGTGTGATAGCAAAGTTGATTTTTTTGCAGCCATTACTCCAGTCTTTAGTGTCACATGATCCTTCAGAAATCATTCTAATATGCTGATTTGATGCTCAAGAAACATTTATTATTATTATCAGTGTTGAAAATAGTTGTGCTGCTAACAGTCATATATTTTTTGCAGACTTCATTAATGAATAGAAATTAAAAAAACATTTATTTGAAATATTAGAAATCTTCTAAACATTAGAATTTATAATTATTATTTAACATTAACATTATAAATGTCTTTAAATGTCCTGACTCCAAACCTTTCAACAGTAGTGCATATTTATATAAAAATATGATTCTACATTAAATGACTATAAACATGGAAGGATTTCTTCTGGATGGTTTATATTGTTGGAATCATTCTCTCTCAGCTGACCTGCCATCCTGTGTTCATTCCCACAGACTGGAGATGGTGTGAATGATGCACCTGCTCTGAAAAAGGCTGAAATTGGCATTGCTATGGGCTCAGGCACAGCCGTGGCTAAGACTGCCTCTGAGATGGTCCTTGCTGATGATAACTTTGCCACCATTGTGGCTGCTGTGGAAGAGGGTCGAGCCATTTACAACAACATGAAACAATTTATCCGCTACCTCATCTCCTCAAATGTCGGCGAGGTGGTCTGGTAAGGGTCTTAACCTTTTGCTAACATTTCAGGAATGCATTCTGTATTTTCATTGGCACGTCCAAACTAAACTTATGACTCTCATTTAAAATTGCTCTGTCAATCCATTTTACTTGTACACGTAATCTGATGCATTTACAGACTTTAAGATTTTAATAGATGTTTTTGAAAGGTGCTTCTTATGCACACCAATATTTTATTTTAAATAGTCCAACTGTAATGTTGTGAAATATTAAAATATTTCATGACTGTCTCTATATTAATATATTTTAAAATGAATGTAAAATGTATGTGAATTTTCAGCAGCCATTACTCCAGTCTTCAGTCTTTCAGAAATCATTCTAATATGCTCATTTGTGACCCTGGACCAAAAAAACAGTCATAAGTTGCACGGGTATATTTGTAGCAATAACCAAAAATACATTGTATGGGTCAAAATTATCCAATTTTCTTTTATGCCAAAAATCATTAGGATATTAAGTAAAGATCATGTTCCATGAAGATATTTTGTAAATTTCCTACTGTAAATATATCAAAACTTCATTTTTGATTAGTAATACGCATTGCTTAGGACTTCATTTGGACAACTTTAAAGGCGATTTTCTCAATATTTAGATTTTTTTGCACCCTCAGATTCCAGATTTTCATCAATAGTTGCATCTCGGCCAAATGTTGTCCTATCATAAAAAAACCGTACATCAATAGAAAGCTTATTTATTCAGCTTTCAGATGATATATAAATCTCAATTTTGAAAAATTGACACTTATGACTGGTTTTGTGGTCCAGAGTCACATTTTATGCTCAAGAAATAGACAAAATAGAACATTTGAATAGAAAGTTAAAAAGGACAGCATATATATATATATATATATATATATATAAAATATTTATTATTATTGTTATAAATGTCTTTACTGTCACTTGTGATCACTTGAATCATGAATGGTAGTGTTTAAACAGGGTTTTCAATGAGAAGGCCCTGGGAGTTACATACCAGAGTGGTTATTATACAAAATGTTTGTTATATTATGTTCTTCACTAAATTGTTTAATCAAGGTTTATGAATCTTCCTATATGTGCCAGAATGGCACAATTTAGTCTCCATCCTAAAAGTGATACTATATAAATGGCAGCACAGTGAAATTTATTCCTTGAGCAAACCCAGATCGCTGCCAAGGTCTTTTTGACATTGTTCCAGTTGTTATCTAATCGCATAACTCACAATGTGTATTCTCTCTGGCAGTATTTTCTTAACGGCGGCTCTGGGCTTCCCCGAGGCTCTGATTCCAGTTCAGCTTCTGTGGGTGAATCTGGTGACCGACGGTCTGCCTGCGACTGCACTGGGCTTCAACCCACCCGACCTGGACATCATGAGCAAACCCCCTCGCAATGCCAGAGAACCCCTCATCTCTGGATGGCTCTTCTTCAGATACCTAACCATTGGCTGTGAGTGCATCACATTTATTTATTTATTATGTTTTTACATTTTTAACTTTTAGTTTGTACTTTTTTTTTTTTTTTTGCTAAAGAAAGCTAGATTTGACACATTGTTCTCCATGTCACCCTATAGGTTATGTGGGTGCTGCTACTGTAGGTGCTGCTGCATGGTGGTTCATTGCTGCTGAAGATGGCCCCAGAGTCACCATCTATCAACTGGTTAGAAACTCCCCTTACATTTCAATACAAATTTTTTTTTTTCTCAAACAAATGCATTCTAATGTTTAAATTTGCCCCTGTCATTTTTTTGTATCCTCACAGAGTCACTTCCTTCAGTGTGCACCAGACAACCCTGAGTTTGAGGGTCTGAAGTGTGATGTGTTCGAGTCTCCCTATCCCATGACCATGGCGCTGTCTGTACTAGTCACCATTGAGATGTGCAACGCCCTTAACAGGTCAGTATCGGAAGTGCGCTGCAATAAAGGAACCGCTTATCCCTGAAAATGCCCCAATTGACCCTTTGCACAACCCTGCCCTCTTTAGTTACTGTTTCTATGTCCAACAAGCCATGCCTCTCTCACATTACACACCATGTTCTCATGCAGTAAAAAATACATCTCGGAGCAAAGAGGAAACTGAAAACACGCCAACAGACAAGACAGAGCAGGATACTTGTATGAAACAAGCGCTTCTTTTTTTATTTATTATTTTTGTTTTTAAGAAATTCAAACAAAAATACCGTTTTGTGGCTCTTTAATGTGTCGTGACAGATCGCTGTATTGCCTCAGTTCTAGCAGCATACGTGAACTGATCGTCTTTTCATATTTACTTAAAGCAAAAAATAAACATCATAACGTATTTTATTTCAACCGTGGAAAGACGTCAGTACACACAATTTAAGTTTAAGTCCACCGAAGTTAATCTACTCTCCTGTCTGATTTGTTTGTCAGGCAAGATGGCAGATTCGGCGTTATGATTGGTCAGATCGTCTGTCAATCAAGCTTTTTGCGAACGGTCAATTAAGTTCCTGTTTACATCCTATTTTCATCCGATCACAAAGAACGAGACAATGCTGTATACATCTGGGAGTAACTTTTTTGTAACTGTGTAAACTGTAAATGTGGTCAGATTTTAAAGGGAGTTTTTTGATTTTGTGACTGCATAAAGGGGCAAGGCCTGCTTGCTCAGCACCTGCACTGAGGGCATTTCCTGGCCTTTCGTGGCTCTCTCACTCTCCCTGGTGCTGTGGATCTACAGCACTGACACTAACTTGGCCAAAATGTTCTGGTCTTGACTGAAATGTGCACAAAAGTGTGCCTCCGCAACAGAGAATGTGTACGAGAAGGACATGATTAACTCAAAAATAACCGTGATATAGAAATATAATCTTTTTTTTAACATGTCCAGTGGGGATTGAGGAGACCATACAGACCTGAAGTCTTCAAGTATAGTGACCATTGGTTTCTTTTTGTTATTGCATTTTTAATCATTTGTTTAATGTCTTATTTCAAACCAGTATCAATTAATATGATATCCAATTTGGTTTGGCCCCAAATTGTTTAAATGGCTGAATGGGAAAAAAAGTGCTTGTGTACAGACATTTAACACTATTTTATGCAATTGTTAATTTGTTCAATTTGCTAACAGAGAGCAGAGTGGGTAGGGTAGAAAGAGAGAGAGCGAGAACAAGACCGAACTGTTTACTAATGTTTACCTTTGTGTCTTCGGCGTGAACATCGCTCAGAGCCAATGGACTAGCATGGTGTTTCAAAGCAGCATGGGAAAGAGAGTGCTGGACTGAATGTTTGAATGCTTCACAGTCAAATCCTCAGATGAAAGCTGCATGTTCTGTATTTTGCATGCATTTTGTGTGGTTTTTCACTTATGATTTGTACCTGTATGTCTTTCCCCATGTATAATAACTTCCATTTTTATGGGTATACATTGTTTCCACTATTACCTGAAACTTTTGATTAGTAAAGCCAGTTTTTCTTCACTAGGCAGAGTACAGCTACCTCAGGACTGTCAGATTAGACTCTCTCTGGTTGCTTCCCCCAACTTAGCTTTACACCGCTTGTACACATTAATGCATGAGGTTTGCCTCTATTTGATGATAAACAGAATTTAGATTATTTTGGCCCTAACTAATCTGTTTTAAGTGGTGTTTGTTTGTTTTCACTGTATTTTAAAATTGATTGAACTTGCATTAACTTAATTTAGGGGTTTTGTTTTGGGGAGGGGTGGGTGGGTGGACAAAAGATGTAAATGTTACCGTTTAGTGGGTAAGGCCAGAGACAAAGGAGTAGAAAATGTAACCAGCAAAGGTTTAGGTGTTGCATTCAAAACATGATTTTTACAATGCAAAAACAAAATGTTTCATGCTACCTTTTTCTCTATTTTTAGGACAATACAGTCATGAATCATTTGAATTCAAATGCGTGTCTTCATTTTACTAGCTGGTCTGTTCCTGTGATGCAACACGGCAAGTTTTAGGAGCAAATATACTTGAATAAATGAAATTAATTTACAGAGATTTAGTTGCATAGCTGAGCACAAGATTGACAGCTGGGAGGGGCTTCCTTGAAAAGGGGCTCCTGTTTGGCCCTCACCAGCCAGTCTGGTAGTGGCCTGTATATTTGTACACATGCAGCACATATATCCGAACGGCACAAAGTACTTTTTCTTTTTATGAAATAGAGCTTTCTGGCATTTAGTTGTCCATTGCATCACACTAGTTCTTGCTTGCTGAAATGGATGCATGTCCCTGACTATGCCCTTGGTGTGGAATTTCAGTATTTTTCTAACAATCATGCACATTCCCTTAGCCTTCAGTGGACTTGCATTTAAGCAAGTGTCACTGACATTGCTGCCACTCATTTCTCCGCTCCTTTTCACCATGTTGCAACAATGTCCCGAAGCTTCAAGTTTTCTGACAATGGACCAGCCCTGCTAACATGTAAATCTGTTGGAATTCCCACTACGACTACTGTAGCTGTTTATAGCTGCATTTAACACATGGCCATATCAGCTTGAATACACTCCACTGTTATATTCCACTGCACTATATGCTGTTTTTAAGAAATATATAATATATTGTAAAGACTTGGTCAAATTACTTCCGTGATTGTTTTCTTTACCCCATATAATTTCAATCTGGTCTCTGAATGATATGAATACACCATTAGTTTTTTATTCGACTGGTCCGTACACTGTGGTCTGACTTGCTCAGGAACTGAACTTGGATGTTGGCATAAATGACTCACTATTGCCATTAGAAATATGTTGCAGTCTCTTTTTCTTTTTCTTTTTTTTTAGTAAATGTTGCCTTTTGTATTAATCACTCATACAATTATTTTCCTCTTTGTCATACTTGCTTATATGCTAAATATTTATTTAATAGTGCACTTTAGCATTTCCATGTCATTCTAAAACATTCAAAAATTCCTAGTTTTTAATTTGTTTTTATTGGCAGTTATTGCTTCTGCCTCTGCTTGTGTTGGGAAACCTCAGGCTTCTGTGTTGTGCATGTTTGTTTTGAGTGGCTTCATTTACCTGAAAATCAGAACTTGCATGTTGAATGTGCAGTTCAGAGAAAATAGCCACCATTGCACTGCCATATCACATGTAAGAGTGGACTCAATAATAAAACTATTCCCTAGTAATGATCAATAAATGACAGAGTAATGAGTGTGTAGGAAAGCAAGCAGCACCATCAGCATCATTTTCTACCCTGCATGACAATGTCTACATTGCCTAATGCTGATGAAAGGAGAGTTTGCTGCATTTTTTTTTCTCTGTGTAAATTGTCAAAGTTTTATATACATGTAATGTATTAAATAGTATAATGCATGCCTTCAGTTGTAATTAGCCAAATAATTTGATCTATATTTATATAGCAACTTGCTGTGTACATTGCTACTAAATGGTATATGATTAAACACATCATTTTACAAATAAACTCTGCAGTTAATTTGACCAATGCTGACGTTCATGCTTTGTGCCTCTCTGTGTATATCTGTTAGGAAAAGCCATTTAATAAATAAAAGTTGAAGGTATTTAAGCATAAAGATTGTCCTGAGCGGTCCTTACGGCTGTAGTGTCTAAGATTGAACACTTGAAGGCGACAGAGACCATATTTGGCGCTAAAATACGGTCCAATTACAATGACATCATCTTATTTCACATATAAACACAGCTGCATCTTTTATGCAACCAGTGACCAAAATCAGTTAAATTGACAATAGCATAAATGAAGCCACAACAGAATGCACATTTTACAGTGCCTAATATTAGTTATACAAAAGTAAAGACACGAAAGGTTTTATATTTGCAAATTGTTACTGTACACAATGTTAGATTATGTTATTTATTTATATCTAAAAAAGCAACTGAAAACAAAAACATTAAATATTTAGTGCAATAAGGACATTACAAAAATATGTATTCCACAATCTTCTGTGTGCTCCTTCTAAAAAGGCTGAACGAGCATGTAAACGTGACTCAGTTTAAACAAAACAGACGGCATTCCCCTAATAAAAAGTTTGATATTTAAACCACACCACTCTTACTACAAGCTCCCTGACTTGAAGCAGCCTGTCGCTTTAAATCGAACCCATGTTGGGAGAGCTGTCAATCATGTCTCTTAGTCCCGCCCCTTCCTGCAGCAGCAGCAGCAGCGGCGTCTAGTGCCTTTCATACAGAGGCATTACGTGCAGCAGATACGCCAAATCTGCACAGTCTAATTATCAGCGACAAAATGGGATAATCGTGAGCGTCTTTAGAGAATTTCGTCAACGGGAACTAAACGACCGATCAAGGGGAGTCATTTTTTCCCCCAGTCTACACAGACGTAAGCACAAAGGGGCTTTGGGGATAATGGTGATAAAAAAAGATATTACATTATGAACGCAGGACAACTGGAATACATCGCCACAGACACGACCGGACCGTATAATTTGTTTATGGCGACCAGTTTAATTTGAAAAGCATTCTAAGGAGTACATCTCGTGCGCTCTGGAGAACAGATGCTGTCATTGTGCTGGGGACCGAGATTTGTGCGCGTGATATTCTGCAAGTGGTCTCGTCGGAATGGTGCGCGAGATGAGACTGCGTGTGCCTTTATTGTTTCCGCGCGACATGTTCAATAACGGTCGTTCTGTCGTTGAACAACTCGAGCCCAACGACGACAATTTTGGTACGGAAAGACTGAGACTTCTAGTGACAATTCCAGGGAAATCATGAACGAAGTGTTTTGTAAACGTTTGTATTAAGTGTTATCGAAGAAATAACCTTTATTATGAACTGGCACTGCCGACTTTTCATACTTTCCTCAATTTGCCTTTTCTTCAGCTAAATTCCACTTAGTTGGAGATAACTTACTTGACCGTGTGTTTCTTACCAATTTGGTAGTTTCAAATAGCCTGAGCAAACACAATGGTGGAGCCTGTGGGTTTCATTGAAGCCTGGAAAGCACAGTTTCCGGAGTCCGAGCCTCCGAAGATGGAGCTGAGGTCTGTTGGGGGAATCGAACAAGAACTGGAGAAGTGCAAAATGTCCATAAGACGCTTGGAAATGGAGGTGAACAAAGAGCGCTTCCGGATGATCTACCTTCAAACGCTGCTGGCCAAGGAGCGAAAGAGCTACGACCGGCAGAGATGGGGTTTC